CCTCCCTTTGCCTGGCACCAGGTCCTGATTTTTAGTGCAGATTTTGCACATGAGCAGCCATAAGAAGGCAAAGAACTACTTTGTGACTTCAGTAGAAATTCAGGTAGCTCTCCCATTTCAGATCATGGCTGGTTACTCTGCAATACCTTCAGCAAAACATCAGCTGAATGAATAAAAGGTGGGAGGCAGTGGGAAAATGATCAATGACAGCCTTTTGGTAGAAACATGCAGGCGATTCTAGGTACCTATTTTGTTGTATTTTAATTTTATACCCTTTGACACAATATCCTTCCATTCTGAGCTGGTATATTAAACATATTCTGTCTGAATAACTTTAGATCCGCTCATTGCTTCCTTAACTTGCTCTCCGTGTTTGAGCAACTTTGTTGCTACACATTTATTCATGTTATTTAGTATTTTTTCAACATTTTCAGGACCTTTTCAAGAGTGAAATCCTTTGAAGATGCAAGATGAGAATGGTACAAAGTACAATTAAAAATCAACCAACCAATATTTGATGAAGAAATCAATAAAAATGTAATTAAACAATAAAGCCAAGCAGCCAGTGAGTGACAGAAAAGCTGGCATAAAAGCTTTCCTGAAGAACTACAAAGAGGAGGCCTGATGACCTCCCCACCCCCAGGAATTGATTGCAGAGATGGGATCCAACCAATGCAAAGTCCTTTCTCTTATATTCAGAAGCCTGATCACCCTTGGTGGTTGTCAACTTCCTGTTTGTTAAGGACTTCATGTCTGTCTTGAGATACAAATGTACAGATTTTTCCCCATCATGTTCCTAGCCAGTTTTCCCTGCATCCTTCCCAACATGTTTGCCTGGTGTAGTGGAAATTCTCCGCTTCCAAAAAGAAAAATGTAATATGCACATTGAAAGAGACATGTCTCTACACTTGTTTTCAGGACTTATTCCATGGTGTATGCCAATGGCTCTTTGAGGCATTGTTTATGAGCTGTGTCATGGTGCATTGTGAGTTTATCTGAATATCTGAAGTCAAGTTAAATAATTCCTTCCTAAAGCTATAAACCACAATTTTAACAGCCTCAGAAATTCCCAGTGCAAACACAGAAACTGAGCCTAACTGACCTTTTAAAAAGGAAGGAAGGAAGGAAGGAAGGAAGGAAGGAAGGAAGGAAAGAGCATATGCTGGATGAAAATAGCAGTAATGCTTTCAGTGCAGTCAGTCCTATGAAGGAGTGGAGTGGGGTCTTTGATCTGCCAATTCATTGAAATAAATAAATTAAGTGGTGCAGAAGGCAAATAGTCAATGAGCTCAACCCAAATGCTCAACCCAAATAAAATACAGGAGTTGAATGAATGGGACTTGATTCAATAATCTACTCTCATTGGCACTAGAAAACTCGATTTCACCCAAGGAAAGTAGAGTTATTTGGGGGCATTAACCCCCCCCCATAACCTGATTGTAATCCCGTGGAGGATGACAGTAGGCTCATGCCCGACTAGCCCATCTCCACTGTGACATTCCGTCCTATCCATGAGCTAGAAGAAGTTCTGTAAGACAGAGGCAGCAGACCATGTGAGGTTGCCAATGATGAGAATCTCTCAGTGCTTCTGCCAGGCTCCGCTCTCTTTCTTTCTTTTTTTTTTAAATTAACTTTCCAATGGCAGAGGTTTGGGCAGGTAGAGATACTGGATATGTATCTTCCCTCCGCATAATTACTATCCCATGGACATGTATGCATTTAGGGGACATGTGACACCAATGTTCTGCAAATGTCATTAACTATTGTCCAAATGTCCAAGTATGAGGTGCTGGTTTTCACTTTAAAGTCCTATACAACCTAGTACCAGTCTATGTAATAGAGAACATTTTCTCATGGGAGTTGTCAAATCATAAGAGAACCCGTTACTTTTACCTCCCTGTGTATAAAGAAACACTTTCTACTGGAATGAACAGCAGTGCTTTCTTAATTTGATTGATTGATTGATTGATTTGATTTGATTTGATTTCTATACTGCCCATCTGGCTACCAAGGCCACTCTGAGCAGTTCACAACAGAAAATAAGACAATAATCGACATCAACAAACCAAAATAAAATGTCAAATAGGAAAGAAAAATAAACAAATACTAAACATTATAGTTTATATCATAGTAACTGTGTGCCATCAAGTCAATGCCCACTTATGGCAGCTTTTTTTCAAGGTTTTCTAGGTTAAAAAAAAACAAACGTCACAAGCATAAATTGATATAACATAGCAACCCCCCCTCCCCCACAGATGGTGATGACAGATGAATTGCAATTTACATAAAATAGGTCAAAGTGGCCCTCATGTGGGAAGGATGGATCTGAACACCTGATTAAAGAGCACCGCTTTCATTTTTAAAATCTACTTTGTTTTTTCTGGTGTTAGATGTGCATTGATGGATGGGTACATGTCACACATTCTGCTGGTACAAACACACTACAGAGTGCCGTCCTCTGAAGATGCCGGCCACAGAGACTGGCGAAATGTTTGGAACAACAGAACACAGCCAAAGAGCCCGAAAAACCCACAACAACCATACGACAGCCCCTTTATCAAACTCATTCTATAAACTTCTGGGGTAGCAGGGAAGGTCCAGATGTTTAATGCAGGCAGAATTAAACCACATCCAGAAGAAACCTGATATAACACGTTGCCAGAACGTGAAACAATCACCTTTTTAAGACTATGGCTCTCCCAGAATCTCCTCATCATGTTCTCAGTGTGACAGCCCAATGGTGCTCTAGATCAGTGGTTCTTAACCTTTGTTACTCAGGTGTTTTTGAACTGCAACTCTCAGAAACCCCAGCCAGCAGAGCTGATAGTGAAGGCTTCTGGGAGTTGCAGTAGTTGCAGTCCAAAACTCCTGAGTAACCCAAGGTTAAGAACCAGTGCACTAGATACTAAGTTTGAAAAAAAAGATGTTTTTCCTACCTATGTTCTCCCTCAGACTTAGCTATACTGAACTTTTTGCCACAAGTCTCTCTCTGCTGAGAAAATCTAACCACCAAAAATAAACCCTTGATATCTCTGAGCTATCCAGTAGCTCAGAAATATCTACCTTTTTAATTGGAATTAGAAACATAAGGAAATAAAATGTCACTGTTTAAACAGGTTGAGATTGCTTAAATATATTTAAATTAAATACTCTTGTGTCCTTTTCCTAGTAAATAAGTTCTTCCCAGAGCTGATAAGCTCTCAAAGCTTCTCCCTCAGGCTACATTAACCTAAACTCAGCTCCAGTCAGTCCTCTCCATCATCAGCATCAGATGCTTCTCCACAGTCTGCCTCTGCCTCCAGCTCTTAATGTGTCTCCAGCTCTTGGGAAGATTCCATTTCCGGGACTATTTGCCAAACCCATTTCTGGTCAGATCTCTCCCTGAAATGAAGGTTGGCTCAAGAAATGTCCCTGCTTGAGCCAAAGGACAAGACAATGCCTTCATTCTCCCACACTGGCATACAAAAGCTATGAAACATAAATTTAACAATGACAGAGTCCTGACTAGTTTCTTTTGCTGCGTCTCAGGGTAGCAGGCTAGCTTTCCTGTTACAGGGCAGGCTTATATAGCAAACAAAACATTTTCAGCCCCCCTTGGTATCTACTGCTTAAAGAGCCATCCAACCCGAGCCCTGCTTGAAACTTCTGCTGCTGAGCATAGTCACCTCCTTGAAATGTTTCTTCAGCCTCCTGCCCCCTCAGCAGTCTTCAGACTCCCTTCTAGCAGAGTTCATGCAGAAGGACTTTCCTCTTCCCCAGCTCTCAGCATTCTCTCTAAACCCAACAGCCATTAATTGCCTTCCACTCACACAGATCACTTCTCATTCTACATACTGTATATTCACATCTCCTGACCAGAACCTCTAACCAACCATGTTTCTTGCCAACCTTCTACTTGATGATTATAATTTCTTGGCCAGGAAGTCCAAACAGGGATAGCCTTGCCCGCCCAGCCCAGAATAATGAGACAGATACAGTAATATGGGATAACGAGGGCCATAACTTTATTAACTTATTTATAACCCAAACTTTCCATTTCCACAAGGAGGCCTACTGTAGTGAACATGACTTCGTCTATAACCGGAGTCAACTCTGACCTTCCAGTCCAGACCACCCATCACGTTCCTATAATGAAAGTGCGCTGTCTTACCATAAAGCACGCTCCCATGTATCCCAGTCGTGGTACCCTAAGTTTGCCCCATCCGGATCTCAAAACCTTCACTGCTCCACATCCCCTGGGGTCCCAGCTTCCCCTCCTCTCAACTAAGGCTCTGCTGCTGCCCTTCTGGGAGGAGGGGTGCTTAGCATCCTTTATGTGCTTTCTTAGGAACTGATCTAACCCTTCTCCTTCTGCACTATCCGCCATGGCATACGGACTACTTAGTATGTCTCATGCCCCCGACCAAGCTGAAACAATTCCGCTCTAAGACCCCCTTGTAGATCCTTTTAAAATATGTTCAGACCCTCATCAGACAGATGCACACCATTCTCTGTACCGCTCTGCCCACGTCTCTCTGTTCATGCCCTTTCGGGCCCGATCAGTCCTTCTGGGATCGAGTGCATCTCTCCACACCATATGTGGAATCATCTCCAACCATCTCCATGTCTTGGGAAAGTGTGCCACAAACGCACTGAGTTCCACTATCACCTGGGTGTCCAGTGTCTTGCCCGACCTTTGGGCCAAGTCGTTGCCTCCCAAATATATCACCATAAGGTCAGAGGGCATATCTGCAGTGCACTGGGACACCAGTTCCATGAACCCATCCCAGCACATGCCTCTCCTTCCCTTCCATTCTAAAGCAGCCACCTCACCAAGGCCCAAATTGTAACCCCAACTGGTCTGACTGGCATGTCTGGCTGCCCAAAAAATGTAACTGTGCCCAAACAAAAGAACTCAAACTCGTGCCAAGGGCTTCTCTAGATCTGCAATGATAAACAGAACTATTTTGATAAGACTGGTATCAATCCACCACAACATCAACTGAACATCTGGAGAGATTTATTATGACACACAGGTTTTCAGCTCAAGAGAAACAAAGAAATAATACATATGGCAAAAATGGAAGATTAATTAGTCTTTTGTATACACCTTGGATTTGATGAAAGTTCGCTCAGTTTTTCCTCTACATCCTTTGAATCCACCTTTTGTCCCACACCTGCTCTGGAGGTTAATCTCATAACTTCTACGTAATTTGGAAATAAATTTTAAAAAGTTAAGAAAAAGAAAAATAATAACCAAAAATTAGAATATCAGACCTCACATTTCTGTCATGCATGCTCTAAAACTGGACTTTACAAGATCCAGATAGCTGCTCATTAAAATGTTGTATGGTCCCTCAGATTAGGACGGCCTAAATATATTAGGAATACCTCAAAGACAACTAGAACATGGTTGCTGATTGGGAAGAGCTAAATATTTGAGGAATAGATTTTGTACTCATCATCATCATCTGATTCGTCTCCCACCTTCATAACTGGGTGGTGATATATAACTGTGGTCATGCCAATCAGCCCCGCCACCACTGTTCCTCCTATAAAGATGCAGAAGGTAATTACACCAAGGACAAGTAAATCCGCTATCGCAACGTGCAGAAGGCAATCATGATGAACCTCTTCTTCTGCCTTAAAGATTGGCCAGCCTTCAACTTTGGGTGGTTTCTTGCAGGTGATTTCGTCATGATCTAGTAATTTAATCCGAGGCTTCAAGTTACCATGACCACGCATGGTCTGCCGCAGCCAATTGGAGACTTCCAGAAAGGTGCAGTTACAATCCCAGGGGTTCCCCTTGATTGCCAAAGTATGAAGGTTCCTGAGATGGTCCAACGTTTGAACCGTCAGGATGTCTAAGCTACAGAAGCTGACGTCTATGTACCTCAGGAGTGTGAGCGGGACAAAGGCATCCTCGTGGATCTTCTTTATCATTGGGTTCGAGGAGATGTTGAGGAACACCAGCCTGGGGAGCTCGGAGAAAGTTTTGGGTAAGATGTCAGTCAGCCGGTTGTGACTAAGATCCAAGTAGGCCAATTTCTCAGCTGCTGGAAAGCTCTCTTCTCCATTTAGTTCAATCAGGTTGTGGCTGAAGTCCAGATAGACCAGTTCATGGAGATAAGTGATTTCCAAAGGTGGTATCGATTTGAAGTAATTGTTGGTCAGAATCAGCTCCCTAGTTGTCAGAGGAACCGAATCAGGGACAAGGTCTAACCCTTTGCTGTGACAGTCCACTTTCATGTTAATGCAGATGCACTCTGGAGGACAGCTCCAACCCATATTGTTCCAGTTTACGCTGATTAGAAAGACCAGCCCCAAAGCTGAAGTACATAAGGATGATGGCAGCAGCAGAGGCCCCATCCCAAACACCTGCCTTCTTTAACCAGAGATGAAGGAGGACAGCCTGCTTTTAAACCTCACAAGTGAAGAAGGACCCGTTCCTTGTTGATCAGATCCATGTCATCTCAGTGGTCAGCCTGTGAGCTTTATGACATCACCAATGGAAGACTCCATTGATAGAACTCTTCTCCATTCATTTCTCTTAATTCTTTTTACCCTCCTCCACATTAACAGCCATTGTATATACTCCCGAGTAGCTTTCACAGGACAGATCTCGATATCTGAACATTGCCCTAACAGCGAGACTCGCCCTTTCCCCAATTTGTCAAGTTTTTGACCTACGTAAATGCATTGCTACTGACAGGCACACAGCTCTTTTAGCCTCTGCCCTCCCAGATTCCATACCTCTTCTGTTAGGACATCTTGATGGGCCCTTGCCCCTGGTGCCAAAGCCCTCAACCGGTCCACCTGTTGACGGGACAGGGTGTCAGCAATAGCATTATCAATCCTGGGGACATGCCAGGCTTGGATAACTATATTGTACTGTAAACACCTCAACGTTGAGGGCCCTAACTAGTACCATTACTCTTTGTGATCTAGAGTCAATGAGTTAACAATGTGGACCACCGTCTGGTTGTTGCACCAGAAAATGACCATTGGCCCATAGCCACAAAGGTCCCACTACTGGAAACAGCTCCAAAAAAGTAAGATCCTTAGTGATGCCTGATTTGTGCCAATCCAAAGGCCAAGTCCCTGCACTCTATTTCCCTTTGAAATATATACCATAGCCATGTGACCCTGCTACTTAGTCTGAACCTGGAGGTCAGACCCTAATCGAAGTTCATCCCTCCAGATAGGGGTTCCATTGAACTTTTATAAAATTTGTAACCAAACCTGCAGATCCTCCCTAATTCCAAATGACAGTTTGCACCTGTGATGAGGTCTTGTAAGAACTTTCATAGCATCACACAATCTACGTAAGAAAAGCCTACCTGGGGCCACTACCTTGCAAGCAAAATTAAGGTGGCCTACCACTTCCTGCAATTGACACAGTGTATCTTTCCTCTGGGCCAGCATACCTTGCAACTGCTCTTTCAAATTGCATGATTTTTCCCTTGGAAGCCTATTAGCTTGTGATACCATATTTAACTCAATACCCAGAAAGGTTAGCATCTGGGAGGGACCCTCAGTCTTTTCCTTGGCCAATGATACACCTAGTTCTTGTGCCAATGTTTGAAATGCCACCATAAGGCATCTGCATTGGGATGTGCCACACCTCCCACAAAATAAAAAAATCATCCAAATGATGGACGACCCTTGCTCTACTGATCAGTTGCTTAAGCATCCATTCCAGGAATGTATTATATTGCTCAAAAGCTGAGCAAGATATTGAGCACCCCATAGGCAACAGCCTCTCCATATAAGAATTTTCTTCAAAAGTAAAACCCAAAAGGTCAAAGTCATCAGGGTGCATTGGGAGGAGCCAAAAAGCTGATTTTATGTCACATTTCCCCAGCTCAGCCCCAATCCCTTCCTTCTGAACCATGTGCACTGCTGCATCAAATGATGTATAATGAACAGTGCACAGATCTTGGGGAATCTTGTTGTTTACTGATTCCCCGGCTGGATAAGACAAATGGTGAATCAACCTATATTCACCTGCAGTCTTGTTAGGAACAAACCCAAGAGGAGACACCCTAAAGTGCACAACTGGTGGGGTCCAGAAGGGGCCTAAAACCTGCCCCTCTTTAACCTCTTTAGAAATTTTTTTCCTCACTATGTCCTCCTGACCTCTTACAAACTTCAGGTTTTCTGACCAAGTGGCTACCCAACCACCCTTGGCTGGAATACAGAAACCATTCCTAAATCCGTCACTTAAAAATCAAGCTGCTGCTCTGTTAGGGTAATCCCATAGCCACTGGTCCAAAACCACTATTTTAATTGGACTGGGGCCCTTTTTGAGTGTTTGAAGGGCCAGAAGGCTGCTTGCGCCTGCTACAGAGTTCACGCCCCCCTGCTCCCCCTTGCTTCCCTCTGAAACAAGTTGCCGATGGGTGGGGTCCCCTGCAACTGGAGCAGTAATGCTTAAATCTGCACTGTTTCCTGCTGCAAGACCCCCAGGCATTATAATCCCAGCAAATGAAGCTGGGTTTGAACCACCTGGCCCGCTAATATACGGGATGCATGTGTCTGTGCCCATTGAACTAAATGTCCACTGTAAAATCTGTCCCCCAATATCGGGCATGCGGGTGTCATAGTCTGCAATCATAATGCATTGTGGGGGACGTTCCAGCATATGCTGGGGCGCAGTGCTGCATGTATACAGAACCACCTGTCATAAAGCAACCATGCATGCCCTGGGAAATCTACATATGCCCTGTAAATAATGTCCATGTACTGGATAAGTGACAGGGCTCTTTTAGGCTGGGCACGTACTATTATACTTGCATATATAAAGAAGCCGGGCAGCCAGTTCGGCCAACAACAGTCTGGCTTACGCCGCTTCAGCTTCTCCCTCTCTTCATCTTTATCCTTGCTATTATCCTCTATCTCTAGTGATTCAGGTTGAGGGACTTGCTGTCAAGTCGGACTTAGGTGGCACTGGTGACTTGACTCAGATTTTTTTTCAATGTCTCGGATTCAGCTTGCAACTTGGAATCCTCCCACCACCTTGCCCTTCTTCTAGGGGAAATAGCTTGTTTATAATAGGAACTTGGACTTGGAGCTTGGGACTTGGAACCTAGTGGCAACCTAGGCTGAGATTCGGACTTGGGACTTGGACCAAAGGCTTGCCAACATCCCTGCCCAGAATCATTGTCAAACTCTAGCTGAAGATTCCATTCCATTGCAAACATAATTAAGACAATCATAGTTGTCTTAAGTCTGCTAAAGAGGACTAAAGCTAGGCTTCAGTCCAGCTCATTTACATGATAACATCCACTCCACACAGGTTTCAGTTAGTCTCTCAGTATCATCCATAATTCCAAATTCCAGGTACTTGCAGGAATTAGAAGTAGACAAAATACAAAACATGCTCCAAACAGTAAGCCAAGATTTTATGGATTTATTCCATCAACATCTGGGTGCCTTTAAAACCAAAGCCAAACAAAATCATTATTCATGATAATAAATAGAATTCTACAACAGAATTACCGCTTAAGCAAGGTGCATGACATAATATCTTCTTGATACGAAAGATGACCACAAAATGTATTTGATATATTTTGAATGGAAGGAAGGAAGAAACTGGAAAATGTTGAACAATTATATTTCCTTTTTGGGGGGAAAAATTTCCTCTTTTTTGAAAAAAAAGGTGAGGCAAACCATTACACTGCAAATGAGTGCTTGCATTAATAAGAAATGCATTAATAATAAATGTAAAATTGCTGCTTTGACCGGCGAGATCTCCTTTTTGGGGGGGAAAGTTTCCTCTTTTTTTGAAAAAAAAAGGTGAGGCAAACCATTACGCTGCAAATGAGTGCTTGCATTAATAATAAATGCATTAATAATAAATATAAAATTGCTGCTTTGACCGGCGAGATCTCTTCGTCATGTGGGGTCTCTTTGCCACACCCTCTGGAGTAGCGTGAGACAGCTGGCCATCCTGATTGCTCCAGGAGGGTGGGGCAGGACCGGGTTTATTTTTAAGAAAGCTCCTCCCCCCCATTGTGATTGCTCCAGGAGGGTGGGGCGGGAGCGGGTTTATTTTTAAGAAAGCTCCTCCCCCAGTTTGGCCTCTTTCGAGCATCTCAGTATAGAAGGAGACTCATCATGCGGCGCTCCAGCTTGTGCACGCTTGTGGCACACTTCAAATTACCATTGTGGCCTTTTGATCTGGGGCTGCGGCCACGCTTTTGTGGGCTGTCTTGACTGTGCCAGCACAGTCAATCGTTCATTTCTTCATTTTTGGAGACTGGACTTTGGCAATCACTTAGGGGCTTAGTAACATGGCGTTCCCACCACCAGGGAAGCTTCAGCCATGCCAGATTCTGTGGGGTTCTCAATCACCCAGCAGTTAGCCTTTTATGGGAATTGTAATAATAATAATAATTGATAAATATTAATTTATAAAAATAAATAAATAAATAAAAACAACAACAATAAAAACAACAACAACAATAATCTACTGCTAATAGGAGAGGGATAAAACTGGGCATAAGGAGGGGGAGGTGGTCTGATCACAGTATCTTGGATGTTGTGTTGGGTTGCCCCCACCCCACTTTTGGGCTCTAAATTAATTGGCTTATACTGGGCCTAAATTCCTATTTCCATTCAGTGCTACTATTATTGGCTACACTGGTTAATTAATATTTTCATAATTAGAATCTAATTAGTTGGATTTCAGGGAATAAAGTGCATAGATTCAGGAATGCATATGTGCATGAATTCTTGATTGAATAACTACCAAATATTGACTCTAAACCTGCGCAAGCCACAGAGCTTAATTGGCAATTAGTCATTCAGTTGATTTAGAGTTTAAGTGGTAAGCCTTGCCTCATTGGGTTTAAGGCTTTTCTGGTCAATTTCTCATATAATATGCCAAAGTGACCAGAAAATATAAATATATTTATAGATAAATCAATACATACATATTTCCTATTAATAAAGTGAGAATTTATTAATACTACACAATAATGGGTCCAAAAAAAAAGGACAGGGAAAAAGTAAAGGAAAACAGCCTGCTAAAACAAAAAAAAGTTTCCCGTACAGAGTCATTTTCAGATGAAGAGTCCTGGCCTATTTGGCAGGAACTACAGAACAGAATTACTGCCTTAGAGGCTGAACATGCTTCCCAACTGGGACCGGCTGCAAGTGGGTCTCAGACTCACAAGTCTTCCAGAGAGTCAAAGGGTCACAGACAAGCTAAACTTGAAGCCTTAGCTGATAACCTCTTATCTCGCCTTAATGTGTTAGATGCTGAGCGATGCACTATTCAGAGACTACCCACCAGAGCTGAGGCACCACAAAGGGTACCTCAGAGTGCTCAGTCCAAAGCTGCAAGTGGTAGTCCAGACCCAGTGTTGGCTATTGCAGCTGCACAGGAGTTAGCAAACTCTGGAATTCCAGGTGAATTTACACCAGCACTGGGTACCTTTAGGGATGCTGTAACCTG